CCTTATTGTGTGCTGGTTAAATCCAGCGGGATTACCTGACCGCGATTAAGCAAAATATGGAAAATGGACAATAATTTAAATTTTAAAAGACACACGGAAAAAAGGGATTAGCTACTATAGCAAATTTATTCATGAAATATGGGATAACTAACATTTTTTGCAGCAAGAGCTACAATTTAGCAATAGTAGTAAAATCATTTTGCAATTATTACTAAGTAGCAAAAAGCTCAGCAAAACTTTTTGCTATTGCAATAAAAGGTTTTGCTATTATTGCAAAATTATAGTTCTTGCTGCAAAAAAATGTTAGTTACCTCACATTTTACGAATAGATTTGCTACATAGTAGCTATATAATCCTTTTTTTCCGTGTATGAAAATCCTCAATTTAATTTGTTAGCTAAGCAAGTTAATTAACCTTCAATTATAATATTCTATCACATGATTACCATTGCATATCATGTTTCACAGATATGCACCTACCCTACAAACCTTCAATTCTGGTCAATGTAGACCTTACCTTATGATGTACATTAGTGTAGTTCCGTAGTTTTTTCTGGCCAGATTAGACTTACCTATTGCGTTGTTCCTAGCCAAATCCATTTTGGCTATATGTCAGCCAGAAAATGAGAAGGAGACAAACTCCTTCAATGCCGGCTGATTAACAGCGCCAGCAGACGATTACAACGATTACGAATCGTTGCAATCGTTAATACACTGAGAAAAAAATTTTCTAGATTTTAGTAAATATTAGTTTGCATAACTGTGACTCCATTTACTAAAAAGAAAATAATTTTCCTTTTTGTTAGTATATTTTTTCCTAGTAAATACACATATACTAATAAAAAGGAAAATTTTCTCCATTTTAGTAAATGGAGTCACAGTTGTATGCAAATTAATATTTACTAAAATCCGGAACATTTTTTTCTCAGTATAAGAGCGCGTTAATATAGAAAAAAATAAACAACCACGTTCGTTAATAGAATCTTAATTAAATTTAACTTAATAATTTTGCTTTTAATTTCTCAGTGACACGCGTAATAATTTATTCGTCCAAGAATTATACAGCAACGGTAGAAAACAAAATTAATCATTAAGAATTTTACGTTAATCGCGTTTTAAAAATCGTCGCGATTATATCTCGCACAATCAGCAAATTCTGGACTTCGATAGTATAATGTAGAAACACGAACTACAGAACTACAAAAATTTAAAAATCCATCGATGACTCGATTAATCAATTATTTGTTAATAAAATAGGCAAATAATATTTAGTATAAATCGAATCGCGAACCGAACCGCGAATCTCACTTTAGATATCAAGTGAGATATTCAGACTGAATGACGTGAGATCCAAAGTGAACAAATGATTTTTCCACATAATTAGTATCGCAATTAATATAATGAATATATCAAATTCTCGCGTATATAACATTTGTCTTTACAAATTTATATATATACATATCTATTTAAATATTTCGTTATTATAATACAAATTGTTATCAAAATTCTGTTAATAAACATATCAGAAATACATATCTACAATTATATTATGCATTAAATATAATATAATTGATATAAAAACTATTAACTTTAAGATAATTCTACAAAAAAATTATATCCCGCAAATAATCATTAATCTGGATCTCACGTTATTTTATTTTGTTTATACAAAGCCAAGCTACATGGATAAACTATAAAAGAATAGGATAAAATCGGCACATTATACAAATACAATAAAAATAAATACAATTAAAACTTCATAGTGTGATCTATGTAATATAATAAGGTCACGTGGAAAGTGCAACGTGAATCAAAATATCTTTTGGTCTTCTTTATTTGTAATACTTGCATATTGAATGTATTAATAAATTTTGCTTTCTTGCACCAATTTATGTAATATTTAATTCTGGAGGAATATTTGGATTAGGAAGAAAGAGAAAGAGAGAGAAAAAAAAATAAAGAAACACATTTAATTGTTATATCAAAATTTGTCTCATGTATAATCGTTTAATTAATTTTATTTTATTAAACCTATCTATACCCTATCTACAGGTACCTATATTTTTTATTATTTTTTAACTCTTTAATTATAATCAAATTTATCTATTGTCTATCTATAAAGAATATATTCTTTATTTATTTTAATTGCTTATAAAAAATATAAATAGTCTATAAATATTTATTTTGCACAAAATATAAAAATCATAAAAACTTAATGATGTTAAAACTTAAAAATGTTATTCTATATTTTGTAAAATTTAATTTATTTATTTGTCCTTTTCTATTCATTTCTTAATAATTTTAAAAATAAATTTGAAAAATGTAATTAATGTAGCAAATTTAAATAATTGATTTTATTATTGTACAAGAAAGATTATAACTAATATCTCAATATATTTAAGAATAAAATTTATATTTGCAAAATATAAATAATTTGCCTATAAATTTCAGGCGACTGGTATACTTCGCGTGTTCTGTAGTGCAAAGAACATTAGATGCACTAACAAATAATGCACCGACATAACGTATGTGCTTATGGATGAGGTGTATTCTCCCATAAGCACAATAAATCAATAAAGGATGATGCTCCAGAATTAATTATTTAGCCTAATCTGATTTAGTCTATCCATTTTAGGGCAACGGATATATGAGAAGTCGCATTTATCTAGAGTACTATTAGATTGACATAATACATCAATATACATTTAATATTGGTCTCACAAATTCGTTACCCCATTATAAAAAATTTGTCACTCACCGATTCGATGCGCAACAAGCGGAGTAATGCAGCCACGTAGCTACGATGATACTGTAACAAAAACGAAAGATTCAAATTTAAAAGGTGCTGAAAATGATCAATGTTTCAAGAGATACACATGATTCTTACGCGCATCTAATTCGATTTCAATTAGATTTGTTGATATAATTATTTATTTTCCGGAAAAATATTTATAAAAATAAATTTTTATAAAATTTTAAACAATTCCTTTTTCTCTAATTATTTTTAACTTGTCAAAATAAAACGGTCCGAATAAATGGGAAAAAACTTTTAATTTCATGCATGTAGATAAGAAATGATACTCACCCCAAGGTTGCTCTGCCGGAGCCTGATGTCTCTCTCAGACCTCCTCCTCCTCTCAGGACGTCAGGCTTCCTCGTCTCACCGCACAGGACACTCGCGAGAAACACTCGCGGATAATAAACTACAATCGCGCGCGGACTAATTTCTGTTGAAAGTCTTTCTCGCGCGATATTGTACGGCACTCCCGTTTAAAAAAGTCCTTTAGTCCGATTACTTATGAGCGGCACTCCCGATGCAAACGCGACGAACCGGCTGCGGTTCGTTCATTCAATTAAATCGGCGGACGAAGGTACGTTAGCTTCCCCGTCTTTGAATTTTTATCCAAGCAGAACAAGAGTTTTGCTTGGGTAAAATCCTCGTACTGGGTACTGAGCCTTCCCACCTCGCCAAGGTCGTACCCGTGGGAAGGAAGTACTTTACTCTGTAATATAAAAGCGGGTAACATGAATTTTTCATGCAAATTTGAAGGAGTCGCGACGCCGCGTGCTCCGCGTCGTTCCGCGTTTATCACCGCGTTACCGGCGATACTACGCAAGTCGAGCGGACGGTTAATAAAGACACGCACTTCGTTAATCAGAGATACGCTGTTGAAATTAAATATCGCACTCATGCACAGTACGTACGGTATCAAACTCGTAAATCTCGCGAAAGTATAACTACATTATTAATATGCACAACGAAGACGCGTGACTGCCGGCCGCTAATCTTACGCGACGCGAGATATACGAGAATCCGAGATTGTGAAGCATTCACGAACGGGCGATGTATCGCGGCGTCGCGCCGCGGCGTTCCGTTATCACCGATCGAATCACCGGAATCACTTGACACGATCAATATCACTCAGCCCTTTTTCCCTACGGAGAGAATCGGAGCTAAATCACACGACACGTCCGGCACGTCAGCGTTCAAAGCACGACACGAGATAAATGAATACCACGCACTTCGCGAATCCAGACATGGCGGGAGGAGCGACTATCACTCGCGAATATCACAGCGCGAAACTGCAAAGCAAGTCGTTCATACATACCTCCGCCTCGACGTCTCGAGTGAGCAATTCGCACGACACGTTCATTCCGATAAACACTTCATACACTCGTAAATTGTTTTACACACACGGCACACGGCGCGCGGTACTCGATCGCGTAGCGATTATTCCCGCGGCCCGCGAAACGAGGAAGCAGGGATGCCAATCACCGAAACGAGCGCGTTCCGAAAACAGCACGAAGCACGGTGACGTCGGTGACAAGCGCGCGCGGAGCACAAATACTTCCTACCTGTGCGAAATTCCTCGGGAGAATGATAACTGAATCACTCACGCAGGTAACACTACTCCGAGCGTTGACGGAAACAAGTGGCAAGTCCGCTCATCGTCAAAAACAACGTCGAAAACGCGCCGATCTTCGAGGTACGGAGCTTTCGAGTTCAACGGTTGCGCCGCTAGTACAGGTTGGTACGGACTGCGCGGTGCCTACACTGCCTACTACGTCACCGTCACCGTATCGATCCGCTCGCGCCGCGCCGGCGGCGCGGAGCGGCGGAACGTGATTGGCCAGATCCGGGGGCTCGGCTCGCGAATCACGCGCGTTCGACGTCTCGCCTGACTGTGCGGCGGCAACGGCGCGCACAAGAATTGCAATTATAAATATAAAATTATAAATGTCAAATAGAGCAAGCAAGACTTAGTTTTAACTTTAAATTTGTTTTCTGTAATGTTAAAACTAGCGTGTTCATTAGTAACAATTAGTAACAAGCATCTTTATTTTCAGTAGAGGGAGAAATGAGCATGCGTACTTAATTATTACAACAAAGAGATTGCGCAGTATATCTTCATCAGGCTTTAAGAACGTTACATATATTTAGGCTGGTATTGATAGTTATATTGACCGTCTTAAGTTCAATCTTAAGATGTCATGAACCAATCACAGAGCCGTATTAGCGTCTTAAGACATTACTTAAGACAATCTTGAAGACTATTCATAGTCGGTTCTTATATTTAAGGCCATCTTAAGTACAATCTTAAGACGTCATGAACCACGCACAGAGCCGTATTAGCATCTTAAGATATTACTTAAGACGGTCTTGAAATAAGATCTGATTATGAATACCGGCCTTAGTGCGTCAGAGCAGTAGGGGAGACCGGGGCTAGAAGTAGAAGTAACACGGGTAAGTTATCACAAAGCTTTATGTCTCGTTTAATAAATTGAGTGGAATATTCTTCTTTATAGTGTAGGTTGCTCCTATCGTGTTAGTCGGGTGTACGAAATAGCTCGTTTCAAAAACATCGCATGTGATATTTACGAGCACTTTTTAAAAATTGGAGGTCGTGAGTAAATTAACCCGTTGAGGTCACATGGGGTCCAGTGGACCCCAGGCTTTTTTTTTTTTTTTTTTTCTTAAAAGTATACTATTTTGAGAGTAAAACGCACAAAGTTTTTTTGCTCTATCTAAAAAAATTTTGACGAATATTTTTGTGAAGAATCAAATAAAAAAAAAATGTTTTTTTCGCGTTTTTTCAACATAAAAAAATTTAAAGAATTATTGGATTATAAAGAGGAAGTCATAAACTAAATTCCAGTTCAAGGTTTGAGTCGATACATCAAAAAGAACGCCAATGGCAACTGTTGTGGGGTCAATATTCATCAAAATTTTTTGAGATAGAGCAAAAAAACTTCCTGCGTTTTACTCTCAAAATAGTATACTTTTAAGAAAAAAATAAAGTAAAAAGTTTGGGGTCCATTGGACCCCATGTGACCTCTACGTTACTTTTAGGAGGTGTGATCTCAACGGGTTAAATTAAATAATGTACATTTAATTTCATAAAAAATGTAAAATATAATTTTAACAAATTTCTGTTTTTGTACTTCAAACTAGATTTTTACTTGAGTAATCGTTCTCTCTTCAAATCATCCCCAAAGAATATTTAAATAACATGCCATTTTTTCAGTTCAATATTCAATTGGTTCAGAAATTTTTAATACGTATACACACACATTTGTCTGTCAAGAATCGATTATTGAATTGTGAGTAATAGAACTCATTGTCAGGGTGTCTTGATTAAATCACGGTTACTAATAGAACGTAACAAATTAATTCCCAAGAATCATTTATTAAACTAGAACTATAACTATATAAATACGGATTTTACGTTTCATGTTAATTGCAATGATGATTGCAAGTATACTATCAATAAAGAATAAAAACTTTGCTTTAATAAATAGTGTACCATCTTACTTATTACCGTGTAGCTACCAATTATATCTTTCACTCAATTTTTTTCTCAAACTGGATTTTAAATTAACATTTTCTTGCGATAAATGTTGTTTTATTTCAGCAAAGTAAGAAATCAATAACTAATAATATAGACAAAAATATATTCATTCACGTTATTTCCTACTTTATTTATGTATATTTTTCAATTTGTCGTCTGTACTATTTTCTACATTCCTCCCTTTTCGCAATAACAACTTACAAAATACTTTAAAAACTATTTGGCGTCGCTTCAAATCGAATTGTGTTGGCAAAATCACATTTTTCCCTCTGGCATTTAATGCATCGAATACGTAAACGTATCAATTTTTTAGCCGTAATTCTTTCTTGCTTAGAAAATACTTTTAGACTCGAACATCAAAATAACGTATTTTCGAATAATGTAAGGCGATATGTATCATGACTATATGTCTTTACCAGAGCATCATGACATAGTGGTATATATTGTATTAACTTTTCTCTATATTTAACTTTAAAACCAAAAGCTATTACTCTCAAAATCATAAATGGTGCTTTAATTTCCAAGAAATGCATAAAGTTAGTACAATCATCACACACACAATTATTAGTTTTTAAAAATAGGATAAATTTTATCTTTCGCGTTCAACTATTAATTATTGAATTAAATACAATAGTTTAAACTATGGTCTTAAACTTTAATTTAAACCACTCTGGTGGTTTAAACTAAAATTAGACATTTCGACTAATTATATGTTATGTTATTAAGGTTTAAAGAATATCCTAAAAGAAAATTCATTTAACGATGACAATGATAAAGTGTTGTGACGAAAAGAGTTGTGATCATGCGAAGTCGTTTGGTGGTGCCGGTCCGAAACCACCGGGCTTTCTGCTTCCGACTGCGGATACATTGCGACATAGAATAGGGGGTGGTTGGTGTAGGGGCTCTCTCGCGGCTGCGGAGAAGAGGGAAGAGGGCCAGACGGCGAGGTGGTGGTTGGTTAGTCGCTCGGGGCTCGAAAAGGGGTACGATGCGCGCCGCGACGCATCGCTGCGGCGGGGCTAGAGCGAGACAGAGCGATTTTCCACCCCGCAACCACAGCATCCCCCATCACCCGTTCCCATTCCCTTATCCTCTTTCTATCTCTCTTTCTCCTTCTACTTTCGATTAACTACTCTCTCCTTTCATTTCGGCTCTTTGTTCCTCTTTCGGTTTTCCACGTTCCTCTCTCGCATTCCTCCCCCCTTTTCATCCTGTACATCCGTTTTCGTTGCTTTCGCACCTCTCCGCCTCGTGCGCGCACACATATACACACACTCTCTCTCTCTCTCCTGTCTTTCTCCATTTCACCTCATGCGGTCCAGTACAGAGTCAGAGCGTGCACAGTACGGTTCGCCGCGCATCTATCCGCATGTACTGGCACGCACGTTGATCACGCGTGCACGCCGGTTACGATTTACGATCGAGAATATATGTAAAAAGATATTCGTGTTCGTGTTCTTGGTAAAGCGGTCGATGAAGAAATCCGCGCTGCTCCGGAAGGGAATCGTCGAATCGAACGGCCGAATCCACGTGGTACATTTATAGATTAAATGCCAGCAAGAGAGAGGTGTTCTCGCGGCGTTTATCCGCACGAGAATTTATCAGCTCTATAGAAGTCTCCTAGCAGAGAGAGAGAGAGAGAGAGAGAGAGAGAGAGAGAGAGAGAGAGTTAGTTCTGCCTAAGTTTTCTTAAAGAATACAAAATTCTTTTCCAAAATTCTACGATATTTTGACAAAAAATTTTATCCAAGATATACAGAAGTTAACGCAGAATTCTTTTTCTAGAGAGATATTAGTTGCTTTTTTTAAAAAAAAACTCAACAATAATTACAAAATGTAACAAAAGAATTTTTTTGTCAAACACACGTAACTTTCTTTAAAGTTAATTTTGTTTCATGATATGACAATCGTTCTTTGAAGAACTTATGGACTTTTGAAGCGGAACAATAGATTGACGTGTAAGACTGCAAGTGAAAGAATGCACGGATTGTTTTAGCTAACTAGTTAAGCAAAACAGAGAAGCAAGATCGTAGAGATTTTAAGACTGCCTTTGAAGCTGGATGAAATTTCTCTGATTTAACTAAATCGCGAGACTGAACTTTCCTGGTACGAATTTCG